CCGCCCGCTGTTCCACGGCTCTACGGCTGCCGCTGCCATTTACAAGGCGCGGGGGAACATTACGGAGGGCAACCAAGATTCGTTTGGGGAGGGTACTGAGGAGGGTATCGGCAAGGCACTGGACAATGATCGGTTCGGTCTTGGCCAGGCACAGGTTGGGTTTGAGGGCGCGCAGGACCAGGAGGTCAGGGAAGGGCCTGTGCAGTTCGAGAAGGACACGGGTGACGTCTTCGGGCTCGACAAGTTCTTGGACGAGGCGAAGAGTGGGAGGAAGAGGGGCCTCGATACCGAAGTGTATGTGTGCATCTTTTGTTACGACATATTCTTGACGCTGATGGTTTTTATGCAGTGGAAGCTCAAGAAAACGTCAGCAGCTTGAGAAAGCGTCAGAGCGTGATTCCTGATCGGCATTCCTTCTTTTCATACTGTTGTGTTAGTAGCGTATCACCCATACTTATTGTTTTTGATATATTCACTCTCTGCGAATACCGAAGCCAAGCGAAAAGGAGTATAGTAAGATTACGCAGACAGAAACTAACTTACGGCATACCAATACAATACAGGGTGAGCAAGTCTCGATACTGTACACTGTACATGCAAAAGCGAGTGCGATACGACAGCAAGTTGTACAGGAAAATACAGTATTTTTTGTCAACGAGCCCAATCGGAGCGACGCAAGAGATTAGCCAAATACGCTCCCTCTTCTTTGTAGCTCACAGGCAAGATGCGTTGAATGCTGTATCGGATACGGGTCGAATCCTGGAAGGCAGCTTCAGCAATGCACACATTGACAACGGTCCCGGAAGTATTAAACGTACGTTGAAAGTCTCCTGCTTCGCTCTGCACACAAAGTTGTACGTCTTGCCCATGGCCTGCTCCACGATCTTGTTGAATGCAACGTCATCACGATCCTGCGGGGGAGGGGGATGAGAAGATGGCGACTAATGTACGATACAAACGACGAACTTTCACTTCGACGACTTCGTCTGCGCTCTTGCTGTCGAAAATAACCTGACCCGCGTCATTGAAACCTTGCAGCCATGCCTGACCTGAATAATCTGCAGCAGCAAGCGACACAATGTACCTGCGACACGATATCACTTGGTCGTAGGTATCACGGCGTATGCATGCGTACGCACCGATACTGGGGCTTCTCCCACGATCGGTCACATCTCTCACAGCGCCAGCCGTCGTGTCCCTCGATGACTTTCTTATTGCAGCCATCTGTGTGGCACGCTGGATACGCAATATTTTCCGTCTTCAGATGCATGATCGTCGCACGACACAAAAAGAAATCGGGTTTATCCGACATGCCCATCTCTCGCTCCTTGACCGTGTTCACGGGAAGAATTTCGGCGCGTTCGAATTGGCCATAGGAGCCGCCTCCGCCGCCGCCGGAACTAGACTGCGCTTGGTAGTTCTGATCCACGCCGGCAGCATCGAACCATCCGCGCAGAGCGTGAGCATCCGGAATATCAGGGTTGACCTGCATCGTGCTAGAACTGAACATGGAGAGCGTGCGACCTGCACACAGAACGTTGGCATGAACAGCTGCGCTTGGAGAAACGTCGCAAACCTACCGCCGAAATCGCCCACTTTTACGCCTTTAAAGGCGATCACAGGCTGATCCTCCGCAACAAAAGTTTCAGCCTGCTTTCCCCAAAGCGTAAGACGAACGGAGAAGCCAGAGCGATCAACTAGGGTCAGATCTCGCTTAGACACCTGGACAAGCTATTGAGGAATACAAGCGAAGATTTGGTATGATTGCATACCGTCTTGTTAGTGGTTTTGGAGGTGATCTCTCCCAGCTGGCCCACATCCTTTACGACACCGATAACATCTTACATGGTAGATTCAAGACAACACTCCGGAGAAGATTGACATTCGACCCACCGCAAACCGAGTCCTTTGTGATCTCACTCAACTTGCCTATATCGACAAAATTATACCTAACCGTAGGCACGTTCGTCACATCGTGGCACTACAGCATTGCACGTCGTTGGTACGGGAAAAGTCGCAAGTAAAGTTGCCGCAGGGCACTCACCTCCTCAACCTCGGTGTTGCGCTCGAACGTCAACTCGTATTCGTTCTGCACATTGGAGAATTTCTTCTTCGCGAGGTTGACCCTGGCCTTCGAAACAAAGTACACCTTACCCTCCTGGAACTTGTCATACAGTTCGTCAACGGCGTTATTGAAGCCCGTGCCCTTGATTTCTCCGGTCTCGTCCATCAACGTGACGCTGAACAGCTTGCCTTCTCCGCGTTGGTTAGACCATGTTTTGACGTCCGACTTTTGGCTGACGCGAGCCTTGATCATCCAGTGGTTCTGATAAGGGCTCAAGCTTTCGATCGGGTAGACGGTGTTGCGCCCGTTGCGAGTCTGCTGACGTGGAGGCTGCTGTGCTAGCGCAGCAGGAGGAGGGCGTGCTGTCATAGTCGACGTGGATGCAGCTGGCGCAGTTTTCTGAGGGAGAGCGCCAGCAGCATTAGGACCAGAAGGCGATTGTATAGGCGTGGGGTTCCCTATCTTGGACGAGTCTTTTGCGACGATTTGTAGGGACAAAATAATGAGAAGGCTATCCATATATTTATTCAGTGGGAAGACACCTTTAGCTCCTATGATTGCCTGACCGTTTGTCCTGCACGAGATTGCAGGTGAACTTTTCAATCGTGGCAATCGAATGCTTGGTGATCTTTTCGTCTTCCACGAGGTGGTTCAGCTGAGTGGCCAGCATCGCCTGAAGAAAATGTTCCCCGTCGGAGATGATGACACGGTAGCGGTCGACTGTAGCGGAAGAGCCAGGTGCCGGGACGACCTTCTTGAAAGAGAGAAACTGTACGGTAGGGCGCATGTTGAAGAGCTCATCATCGCCGCCAATAGGTTCATTGAGGCGTATACACGCCCCGCCAGTGAGTTGATGAGCCATTTTGAGGCAATATACGGCGGGAGGAGGATGAGAGGGAGAGCCCGCCGCGACGCGACGCGAGCCTTATGTAGCGCGTTCGTTACGTAATCATATCCGGATTTAGCAAGGGGTGGTGCCGGCTTTCTCCTCCTCTGCTAGTGGCGAAGGCCTTGTCCAGTTTGCTACTTTCTCCTCTCCCCTCCTCCCCCTCTCACGGCCTCCTGACACACTCGAGTTACTGTTAGTGTAGAGTACATATTGAAACCCGGCGCTAGGGTCTATTCAAATTGCGCGATCAGTAGTCACGCGTCCTGCGACACCGCGCGTCCCTCCACCTTGCTCTTCGCCACTGAAATTCGACGGGCGGGAGACCATCCAACTCTTAGAGATCCGGAAATAAAATGACAAACAAGAAAGCCAAACAGGCAAAGAAGAAAAGAGAGGCAGCGGCAGTCAACGGGCGCACAGGCAGCGACGGGTACGTAAAATTCCTTTCTCCCAGCTGCCGCGCAGAACACTCGAATACAGCTCCCGGTCTTACTCGACAGATACGAAAGCCCCACGAAACCCGAGCAGCCCTCCCCAGTCGACAGCCAAATGGAGCCGGAGGCCCCCAAATCTGCGGAGGACATCAAGGAGGCAGGGAATGCCGCGTTCAAGGCCCAGCGGTTCGCCGAGGCGATCGAGCTGTATTCGAGAGCAATAGGTCGGTCCTGCACAACCCTCGGGGCGTGCGCTGACCACACACACCACACACGCTAGACCTCAAGCCGACAGAGCCGACATATCTCACCAATCGCGCTGCAGCGTACATGGGCCTCAAGCGGTTCAAGCCCGCGCTCACCGATTGCCAACAAGCCGCCAACCTCCAGTCTGCGTCCCCGTCGCCCAAAACCCTCATCCGCCTCGCGCGATGTCAGCTCTCGACCGGATCCACGGCCCCCGCTCTGTCGACGCTCCGTGCGGTGCTTGCAATCGACGCGGGGAACGCGGCCGCGATACAGCTGCAAAAGAAGGTGCTCGAGCTAGAGGCGCATCTGCGCAACTTTGACGGCGCAAAGGGGCGGAAGGACTGGGGCATGGCGCGGCTGGCGCTCGACAAGTGCGTGCAGGCGATCGAGGCAGAGGGCGGCGACATCCCGATGCAGTGGCGGCTCTGGCGTGTAGAATTAGAGCTGGCCCGCGGAAACTGGGATGGCGCAGGCATCGCCGCCAGGTGTGCTCCCCGAGCTCCTCCCGTCGAGACGCATCTGACCCAGATCGAACGTCCAGCGACGCCTTCCGCATGGAACCCAATTCGCCGGATGTGCTCACCTTGCGCGGCCTCGTTCTTTTCCTCACCGCCAAGACGGCGCAGGCACTGCAGCACGTGCAGTCTGCCCTCCGGCTCGATCCTGGGCACGAGCCAGCACAGCGGCTGCGAAAACGTGTCAAGGACGTAGAACGGCTGAAGGAGGAGGGGAACACTGCATTCAAGGCCGGGCGTCTAGAAGAGGCAGCGGGAAAATACAGCGAGACGCTAGAGGTGAGGATCCGCCCGATCGTACCAGAACCACTCTGCTCATCGTGCAGCGCATCGGAGCGAACGACGAGGAGGGCAGGGGCGGCCAGATCCGCGCCATGCTGCTCTCAAACCGCGCCACCACCCTCGTCAAGGTGCGTCCCTTCCGCCGTAAACAGCGGCGACGCTTGTTCAGGTTCGTTGCGCACACCTAGATGGACCGGTACGAAGACGCGCTCGAGGACACGGAGGAGTCGCTGCGGCTGCATCCCACGTCGTTCAAGGCGCTCCGCACGCGCGCGCGGATAGAGCTCCACCTGGAAAAGTACGACGCCGCGGTCGCCGACTTCAAGTCCGCGACCGAGCAGGCCGAGTTCGAGGGGAGCGACGCGGACGTGCGCGCGCTGCGGGGCGAGCTCAAGAAGGCCGAGGCGGCGCTCAAGCGCAGCAAGACGAAGGACTACTACAAGATCCTCGGTGAGTGCGCGGGCGGCGCGGCGGCGATCCTCCCAGCTGAATCGCGGCTGATCCGCGTGCGTGGGCAGGCGTCGCGCGGGACTGCGGCGAGAGCGACATCAAGAAGGCGTACCGGCGCGAGTCGCTGAAACACCATCCCGACAAGGTGAGTGCCCCCCCCCCTCCCCCCCCTCCCCGCGC